TCTTGGAGACGTTTTCTGTGCAGCGGCGGGGTCTTTCGGGTGGCCGGCGCGCTGGGCCGAAGCCCCAGGGGGAGTTCAAGACCAAGCCGTAGGGGGTCCTGTGATGAATCAACAGAGGGTGGCGGATGACGGAACGCGCGCTTGCGTCGCGATCCGTTAGCCGGGGGAAAATAACAATGGAGGTGTGGGGGGGTATGCAGGACGAGCCCCAGATCTATTGGCCAGAATTTCGGCCCAAGACGGCCCAAGTCGGCCCCAGGAGCGCCCAAGAGACCCCCAAGACAGCCCAAGACGCTCCCTCGACGCCGTCACATGCCTCCACGACGGCCTCTGGGAGTCCCACGAGGGCTTGAATACGGCCCAAGGTCGCCCCAAGAGGGCCCAAGATAGTCTCTGGACGCTCCAAGAGGCCCCCCAGAAGAGCTTGAAAAGGCAAAGATGGTCCATTCCCTAAAGAAAACGTGCCTTTTTAGCATATTCGCTTCTTCGGTCTTCACGGCGTCTCAGGCGGCCCAATAGGCGCCGAAGACCGCCCCAAGACGGCTCAAGAGGCCCCCAAGACGGTCCCAAGACGGCCCAAGTGGGCTGCAAGTCAGCCCAAAGAGCCCCAAGACGGCCCAACAGAGGCCCCTGAGGGTTCCAAGAGTTTCCAAGACAGCCCCAAGAGGGCCACAGGAGGTCCGCTAAGAGGGTCCTGGAGGGCCCCGAGAGGGCCCCAAGACGGCCCGAGCCCCCCAAGACGGTCCAAGAGGGCCCCAGGACGGCCAAAGACGGCCCCAAGACAGCCCAAAAAGAGCCCCCAAAGGACCCCCAGGAAGGCCCAGAAATGAGTTACTCACTGCGTGGAGAGCCCCATATGTGCATCTTTTTAAAAGGATAATTGTCAGTGGGATCTGGGAATGCGCGTCTAGCCATTTGGGCGCTTGGGACTGCTCCTGGGGCCTCTCGGGGCCTCCTGTTGCCTTCCGAGGCCTCCTGGCGCTTCCTCTGGCCTCCTGGGGTCTCCTGTGGCTTCCTGAGGCCTCCCGGAGCTTCCTGGGGCCTCCTAGAGCCTCTTGGGACATCCTGTGGCCTCTTGAGTCTTTCTGTGGCCTCCCGATGCCTCCTGGGAGCTCATGTGGTCTCCTGGGGCCTCCTGGAGCCTGTTGGAGCCTGCTGTGGCATCCTGCGGAGAATCTGTGCCCACGAGTCTGGCCACCGATCGAGACATCCTCAAAATCTGGCCCACCGGGGGGTTGAAAATGCGTGTCTAGCTCGAGACATCCTCCAAATCTGCTCCGAAAGCGAAGGATGTTGGGACAGAAAATAAGCAAACCGCTTTAGACATCCCCACAAAACGGCCGCGAACGGGACCGTGCAATACCCCTTCGGCGGCTCCCCTTAGGGACGTGAAAATGAGCGCCTCGCTCGAGACATCCTCCAAATCTGTTCCGAAAGCGAAGGGTGTTGGGACAGAAACCAAGCAAACCGTTTGAGACATCCCCACAACATGGCCGCGAACGGGACCGTGCGATACCCCTCGGCGGCTCCCCTTAGGGACGTGAAAATGAGCGCCTCGCTCGAGACATCCTCCAAATCTGCTCCGGAAGCGAAGGATGTTGGGACAGAAAACAGGCAAACCGCTTAAGATATCCCACAAAACGGCCGCGAACGGGACTGTGCAATACCCCTTCGGCGGCTCCCCTTAGGGACGTGAAACTGAGCGCCTCGCTCGAGACATCCCCCAAACCTGCTGCGAAAGCGACGGATGTTGGGACAGAAATCAGGCAAACCGCTTGAGACATCCCCACAAAATGGCAGCGAACGGGACCGTGCAATACCCCTCGGCGGCTCCCCTTAGGGACATGAAAAAGAGCGCCTCGCTCGAGACACCCTCCAAATCTGCTCCGAAAGCGAAGGGTGTTGGCACAGAAAACAGGCAAACCGCTTGCTGGGACAGAAAACAGGCAAACCGCTTGAGACATCCCCACAAAACGGCCGCGAACGGGACCGTGCAATACCCCACGGCGGCTCCCCTTAGGGACGTGAAACTGAGCGCCTCGCTCGAGACATCCCCCAAATCTGCTCCGAAAGCGAAGGATGTTGGGACAGAAAGCAGGCACACCGCTTGAGACATCCCCACACAACGGCCGCGAACGGGGCGTGCGTGAGTATCACCATGAGTAAGTCTGAGTAGGAGTAGGTCTGAGTATGAGTAGGTCTGAGTATGAGTTAATTTGTGTGTGAGTAAGTCTGTGTCTGAGTAAGTCTGAGTGTGAGTCAGTCTGTGTATGAGTAAGTCTGGGTATGAGGGGGAGAGGGGAGGAGAAGAGGAAGAAGGAGGAGTAGGAGGCATCCGAGTAATAACAAGAACCCCATCTTAAGATATGGGGAAACATTCATCGATTATCGCATGTTTTTTGTTTTTGCAATATTTTTGTATGTCGTGCCAAAGCCTTGACACCAACAGGGCTCTAAGACACTAAGCCAGCGACCTCGCTTTCCGACAAATTATACGCACTTTCCGTGTCCGAGCTGAGCAGGTAACGGAAAGAGCGAGGTACGAGTGATGACGTTTTGGTGGGGCGAAGCCTTCTTGGGAGGGGTCTAGGGGATGGGGCGAGGGCTGGACGTTCCGGCGTTCACGGCCGCCAGGGGTCCGTTTCCTTTGTATTTTATCGAGTGAAGCGGCTCGCGGGCGCCTTCCACGGCCCGTTTCCTTGTATTTTTTCGAGTGAAGCTGCTCAAGGGCCCCAAGAAGGCCCAACAGGGCACAAACGACTCAAAGACGGCCCCCAGAGAGCTTCGGATGGCCTCCAGACGGTCCAAGAGAGCCTCGAGACGGCTCCGGAGACCCTCCAGAGAGCCCTCGAGAAGGCCTCAACAGCCCGGAAACATTGATTTCCCTATGGTTTTGAAGGTTCATGTCGGGCCCAAGACGGGCCCAGACGGGCCTAACACGGCCTAACACAGCCCATGAGGTCCCAAAGCTCGTCCCAAGACGGCCCCAGAGGCCCCCAAAGAGGTGCGCAAAGGTCCAAGAGGGCTCGAAGACGGCACCAGAGGGGCTCAAAACGGCCCAAAAGGGCCCTAAGATGGCCCAAGAGGACTCCACGACGGCCCCAAGAGGACCCGAAGAGGCTCCCAAGAGGGCCTCAAGAGGCCCCCAAGAGAGCCCCAAGACGGCCAAAGGCCTTCAAGACGCCCCAAAACGTCCCAAAAGGGCCTCCAGACGGCCCAACATTGCCCCCAAAGGGCTCCCAAAGGTTTCCAAAAGGGCCCGAAGAAGACCCCGACGAGGCCCAAGAGACGCTCAATAACACCATGGCTCCCATGAGCGAGCGGTGACGTAACAAGCTTTTGACACCAAGGCTCCCCAGAGCGCGGTGACGTAAAGAGCTCGTTACACCAAGGCTCCCAAGAGCGAGCGGCAACGTAAAAGTTTCTGAACACCAGGGATCCCGATGGAGAGCGGCGACGTAACAAGCTCTTCACACCAAGGCTTCCAAAAGCGAAGGGTGCCATGAGCCATCTCGGGCAAGTTCCTGATGCGCTCTTTCCGTTTTCCTGCTGGCCCAGGTGATGGAAAGAACGAGGTACGAGCGAGAGACGTTTCGCAGGGGGCGAAGCCCTTGGGGGCAAGCCCGGACGAGATGGTCTAAGTGCCCTCGCGCCTCTTTATTTATCGAGTGTCGAATGGCCGCCCGGGGGCCGCTTCTCTCGTATTTTTTCGAGTGACGCGGCTCCCGGGCGGCTCTCGTGGCACGTTTCCTGGTATTTTTTTCGAGTGGCGCGGCCAGAGGGCTCCAAGACGGCCCAAGAGGGCCCCAAAACGGCCCCAGAGGGCCCCAAGACGGCCCCAAGAGAGCCTCAGATGGCCTCCAGACGGCCCAGGAGAGCTTCAAGACTGCTCCAGAGGCCCTCCAGAGGGCCCCCCCGAGAGAACCCCCAGGGGCAATACACATTGATTTTTCCATTGTTGTCACATGTTTTTCCCAACCATCCTGTGGTATTGGGTCCTCGTTTTGAAGAGACAGCGCCCCGCGTTCCCACCTTCTTCCCGCTGCCCCCCTCCCCCCTCCCCCTCCTCCCTCCTCCTTCCTCTCCTCCCTCCTCCCTGCGTTTCACCCACCCATTACAGCGTTTCGTGGCTCCATAGGGAGCTCCAGCAAAGGCCCCAGTGGCAGGGTCCGCATGCAGTTCCACCCCCATTTCGGCGCAACTCTCACACGTTTCGTGGCCCCACAGGGTGCTCCACCCAAGGCCCCAGTGGCAGGGTCCGCATGCAGTTCCACCCCCATTTCGGCGCACCCCTGACACGTTTCGTGGCCCCATAGGGTGCTCCACCCAAGGCCCCAGTGGCAGGGTCCGCATGCAGTTCCACCTCACGTTTCGTGGCCCCATAGGGTGCTCCACCCAAGGCCCCAGTGGCAGGGTCCGCATGCAGTTCCATCCCCATTTCGGCGCACCCCTCACACGTTTCGTGGCCCATAGGGTGCTCCGCGGAAGGCCCCAGTGGCAGGTCCGAATGCAGTTCCACCCCCACTTCGGCGCACCCCTTCCACATTTCGTGGCCCCATAGGGTGCTCCGCCCAAGGCCCCAGTGGCAGGGTCCGCATACAGTTCCACCCCCATTTCGGCGCACCCCTCACACGTTTCATGGCCCGATAGGGTGCTCCGCCGAAGGTCCCAGTGGCAGGGTCCGCATGCAGTTCCACCCCCACTTCGGCGCACCCCTGACACGTTTCGTGGCCCGATAGGGTGCTCCGCCCAAGGCCCCAGTGGCAGGGTCCGCATGCAGTTCCACCTCCACTTCGGCGCACCCCTGACACGTTTCGTGGCCCCATAGGGTGCTCCGCCCAAGGCCCCAGAGGCAGGGCCCGCATGCAGTTCACACGTACCGTGGCTCCATAGGGTGCTCCGCCGAAGGAGGAGCGGGTCGAGGAGCGGGTCGAGGAGAGGGTCGAGGAGCGGGTCGACGGTCGATCTGTGAGGGAGCCGGAGGGCGGCGCAGGGCCGAGGCGGAGCGCCTGTCGCTGGCGCGGCACCTCGAGGAGAGGCGGTGCGCCCAGGACCGGCCGCCCGCGCGCAGGAGTGGCCCCTCGAGAGGGTGTGCTGTGGTGCCCCCTCCTCCTGCTCCTCCTCCTCCTCCTCCTCCTCGTCCTCCTCCTCCTGCTCCTCCTCCTCCTCCTCCTCCTCCTCCTCCTCCTCCTCCTCCTCTCGCTGAAAAGGGAGGCAAGCTGCCCCTCCCTCCTCCCTCCCTCCTCCCTGATTCCTCCTGGCCCAGAGCTCTCGGAGGCCTACAGGGTTGACAACACCATCACCAACATCGGCGGTGTGCTTCCACCGTGGGAAGATGATCCCGATCTCGGTGATGGTGGTAGGATTCGGGCTTTCTTTAATTCGGTGGCCGAGACATTGCCACCTGCACAAGAATCGAGGATCATCCTCCTCCCGTGGAAGCTGCCCCTGGTGTTGGTGCTGGTGCCCGCTTCCAAGCTTCCAGCAGAGGGTCCCCCCTGAGCGCCCCGGTTTGGCCCCCCCCCCGCGGCGCCCGGAGGCCGCGCACCAGCGGTCACTCCGCATTTGTCGAGCAGTGGCGAAGCGTCCTGGCTTGTCTAGAGTTAGGTCGGTCATGTCCCTCCACAGGAGGAAGATTCAAAAATGGTTAAAGCATGGTATGAGGGCGATTTTCCGAACCTGTTTTTTGATTATTTGGTTCTGCGTATTTCTGGAGTATTTTTGATTTTTCGTCCAAGATCCGCCTGTCGGGGGACATGCCCGACCTGAGCCTGGAGGCCCACCACAGAACGTTCTCAGAACCTTCTGTGCTCTGCACGACGTGTTCTCAGAGCATTCCTGGCCGAGGCCGTCTTGTTTTCTACCGCATCGGGCCCACGACCTAAAGAACAGTGCCCCCGTTCTTGGAACAGTTTTGTGCGCTGGGGACCTTTCGCGGTAGGCCTGCGGGAATGCCGGGACGGTCGGTTCCGGCTCCAGCTTGGGAGGCCGCCCCGGCGCGCCGCCGGCCAGGAGCGGAGGCTGGAGGACTTCGCGGAGCAGGTGGAGCAGGCAGTCCGCCCCGGGGGGACCCGAGCGCTGGCGGGGGCAGACGTCACCACCCACCAGCCCACCCCAACCCAGCCCGAAGGCCCCGACTTGCCCTCCATTTCCAGTGGGGGGGGTTGTCGGGGAACGTTGAAAAACACACATGGAACCCGTGCCCACCCCAACCCGAAAGTCGGGTCATCGGGTTGGGTTGGGGTGGTCTGGTACGCAGTCAAGATGGAGGCTCTCGGCCGGTTCCGCCGCGACGCGGCCGGCTGGCCTCGCGTTGTCGGTGCGGGCTCGGCCGGCTGACGCGTCGCCCCGCCCTTGCAGGCTGCCTGCGGCCCGCCACTTTCGAATCCTCCTGGTGCCCAGACCAGAACTGAGAACTGTCCGCGCCGACGGCGTGAAGACGATCAGGCTCGACGGCAACGACAAGTGGACACTTTTTGTCCACCCACCGTCGGGGGCGGCGACGAGAGGGGTGATGCCTAGTCGGGGTGGATCTCATGGCGGGGGCCATGATGGCTCCCCAGATTTCATTGTGCCTCTTCTTATTTTAATACGTCCCGGGTCCCCCTCCCTAGGCCGCGCACATGCCGCCGGCCATGATTTGCGTCGCCCCCTCTTGGACGCCCCCCTCTTGGACGCCCCCGAGTTCCGCTGTCGGCTCGGTCGATTTTCGGTCCTGCTGCCGGCGGTTCGCGCGGGGGGGCTCCGTTCGGGCGGCGGGCAGAAGGTGGCCACAGTGCAGACGCCGAAACAAAGGACCGCTTCCCAGACATCCGGCTGCTCCACTTTTTACCTAACAGCTCTTGCTGATAGGTTTCTAGTGGTCTCAAAAGAGAGCATCATGACTCCTCAGGGGGGTCTGGGCGGGACCCGGGGAGGCTGCCGCCGAAGCCGAAATCGCTTGGGACATCCTCGCAAAATCGCTCTTGGTGCTCCCAGAACTCCATTCCCGGGCCACATTTTGGATGCCCGGAGCCAACTGTAGGCCACTTCGTGCTCTTCGATTTCCCAGAACTCCATTCCCGGGCCACATTTTGGATGCCCGGAGCCAACTGTAGGCCACTTCGTGCTCTTCAAGTTCCCAGAACTCCATTCCTGGGCATGATTTTGAATGCCCGGAGCCAACTGTAGGCCTTCAGCCACAATGCTGAGGCTGAGGCCGAGGCAGGCTGAGGCTGAGGCAGGCTGAGGCTGAGGCCGAGGCTGAAGGCAGACTGAGGCTGAGGCTGAAGCAGACTGAGGCTGAGGCTGAGGCAGGCTGAGGCTGAGGCTGAAGCAGGCTGATGCTGAGGCAGGCTGAGGCTGAGGCTGAGGCTGATGCAGGCTGAGGCTGCAGGCTGAGGCTGAGGCCGAGGCTGAAGGCAGACTGAGGCTGAGGCTGAAGCAGGCTGAGGCTGAGGCTGAGGCAGGCTGAGGCTGAGGCAGGCTGAGGCTGAGGCTGAGGCAGGCTGAGGCTGAGGCTGTGACTGCGACTGCCGTTGCCGCTGCGACTGTCATCGCGAATGCGACTACGACTGCGAGAACAGCAGAATTCTACAACTGGATTCTCATCTGAATCTTAAGGGGAATGCTTTCAGATATGCTTCTACACATCGCTGTTAGGTTGCTTTGCCAGGATAATTTCCATGTGTGTTCCCCGCAGGTCCAGACCACTTCCCTAGGGCTCGTTTTTCGTCCTGAGTCGTTATTTGACGCCCTCGAGGCCCGGCGAGGGCCCCTCTACAGGAGGAATAGTAGGGAATGGCGAAAGAGTAGCCTCGGGCCGACTTTTCGTGCTCTTTGGACTATTTTTGCATATTTACTTAACAGCTTTTGCTGATAGGTTTCTAGTGGTCTCAAAAGAGAGCAGCAGATGACTCCACAGGGGGGTCGGGGCGGGACCCGGGCCGCTGCCGCCGAGGCCCAAATCGCTTGGGACATCCTCGCAAAATCGCTCTTGGCGCTGCTAGAACTCCATCCCCGGCGTACATTTTGGATGCCCGGAGCCAACTGTAGGCGACTTCGTGGTCTTCGAGTTCCCAGAACTCCATTCCCGGCGTACATTTTGGATGCCCGGAGCCAACTGTAGGCCACTTCGTGGTCTTCGAGTTCCCAGAACCCCATTCCCGGGCCACATTTTGGATGCCCGGAGCCAACTGTAGGCCACTTCGTGGTCTTCGAGTTTCCAGAACTCCATTCCCGGGCCACATTTTGGATGCCCGGAGCCAACTGTAGGCCACTTCGTGCTCTTCGAGTTCCCAGAACTCCATTCCCGGGCCACATTTTGAATGCCCGGAGCCAACTGTAGGCCACTTCGTGCTCTTCGAGTTCCCAGAACTCCATTCCTGGGCATGATTTTGAATGCCCGGAGCCAACTGTAGGCCACTTCGTGTTCTTCTAGTTCCCAGAACTCCATTCCTGGGCCACATTTTGAATGCTGAGGCAGGCTGCAGGCTGAGGCTGAGGCAGGCTGAGGCTGAGGCCTGAGGCTGAAGGCTGAGGCTGAGGCTGAGGCTGAGGCTGAGGCTGAGGCTGAGCTGAGGCTGGCAGGCTGATGCTGAGGCAGGCTGAGGCTGAGGCTGAGGCTGATGCAGGCTGAGGCTGAGGCAGGCTGAGGCTGAGGCCGAGGCTGAAGGCAGACTGAGGCTGAGGCTGAAGCAGGCTGAGGCTGAGGCTGAGGCAGGCTGAGGCTGAGGCAGGCTGAGGCTGAGGCTGAGGCAGGCTGAGGCTGAGGCTGTGACTGCGACTGCCGTTGCCGCTGCGACTGTCATCGCGAATGCGACTACGACTGCGAGAACAGCAGAATTCTACAACTGGATTCTCATCTGAATCTTAAGGGGAAATCTTCCAGATATGCTCCTACACATCGCTGTTAGGTTGCTTTGCCGGGATAATTTCTATTCATAATTTTTGTGTTTTTATTCGGACATCCGCCTGTAGGGGGAAATGCCCGACCTCAGCCCACAGGGCGCCCCCCCCAGCACTGGGCTGTGCGCCTGGGCCGCGGCCTCTCCCCGCGGCCCCCCCCCCCTCCGGAAGCCGGCGCGCCCGAGCGGGGGGCCCTTGCTGAGGCCAGAAGAGGGCCGCAGGAGGGCCCCCCGGGGCCGGGGCGACGCAGAGATCCGGCGCTCTCCAAACTCGGGGGCGGCGGCGAGGGGGGTGAGGGCTAGGGGGGGTGGATCTCATGGCGGGGGCCATGATGGCTCCCCAGATTTCATGGCGCCTCTTCTTATCTCAACGCGTCCCTGGCCCCCCCCCTGGCCCGCGCACATGCCGCCGGCCATGAGTTGGCCTGGACCCCCCCTCTTGGCCGACCCCGAGCAAGAGGGCCTGGGGGCCGGGCGACGCAGAGCGGAGATCCCGACGTTTCAGAGAATCTGCATCAGTGCAGAAAATCACGCCCGGACCCCTGGACCCCATCTTCCCGCGTCATTTTTCGAGCCAGATCGGTCTGTGAGGGTCCCGGGGCCCAGGACCGAGCGAAAACGCTCGTTGCGAAACAGTTGCAGCGCCAGGATCGCAGGGATCGAAGCGATGGGAGCGGCTGGATGCCTGGGCAGGCCCAGCGGGCATGCTGGGAGGGCTTCTTCGAGGGCGGACGTGCCCGTCGGAGGGGGGCGGACAGCGCGCTCCGCGCCCCGCGAGGGCTCGGGGGCCATCTCGGAGGGCCGCCCCAGGGGTGGGCCGTGCTTCTCCGGGAGGGCCTCGGGAGGGCGCCAACGGCGACGACGACGACGACGACGACGACGACGACGACGACGACGACGACGACGACGACGACGCCGACGACGACGACGACGACGACGACGGGAGCATCTTGGAGGGCCGCTCCTGGGTGGGCCGTGCTTCTCCGGGAGGGCCGCGGGAGGGCGCCCCAAAAAAGGACCGGCGCCTTGCGGCTCGCGCGGCGTACAAAACGCGACGCCAGGCCACCCGGGTTAGGCGCGCATGGCTCCAGACCCCCTCGCGCTGTGAAAAAATCGCGAGGGGAGGTTTTTCGCAATTTTCGGCCTCTGGGGACCCTGCCCGGGACTCGGGACTGTCAAATAACGACCCAGGCCCAAAAACCAGTCCTGGGGAATGGGTCCAGACTTCCGGGGAGAGCATGCTGCAACGCATGAATTGGCAATTGGGATGTCAGAAGCTTTGATGCCTTTTGCAGTTTTGAGCCGGCTATGATGCCCACTCGTGCCCACCCCGTCCCGTCTTCAGGGACTTCGCATCCCCCTCTGGGTGGTGGGATGGGAAGACGGGCCGCCACCCCTGGCACTGCACGTACCGTGCCAGGTTCGTGGGGATTTTGTTTGACCCTCGCAACTCCTATGATGGAAACTGCGAGGGGTGTGAGGCCTCATGGCGGTCCTCACTGGCGAAGCCTATGATGGTCCTCGCCGGGGGGGGCGAATGATGGACGCTCGTCAGCAGCATCCCCAACGTCCCGAGGGAAGCACACCTGAAGAAGGGCCGTAACGGAAGGAAGAAGAAGATGAACAAAAGAAAACGAGAGAGAAAAGAGGAACGGGAGGATGATGAGAATAAACGAGAGAAGAGAGGAACGGGAGGAGGAGCAGGATGAGGAGGACGAGGAGGAGGGGGACGACCAGGACGAGGACGAGGACGACGTTGTGCGAAAGTCAGGATGTCGGGGATCTGGGGCTGTGGCAGTTCCTGGATCACCTTTTGGGTAGGGGAGTCGATGCTTTGGGCAGGTGAGGGAGGCGAGGATCTTGGATGAAGAGGGGGGGTCCAGAGGCGGAGCGGAGCGGAGCGGAGCGGGGGGGAACGAGCAATCGCACGCCGCACCCGTGCCCCGGCGGCTGTCTCGCCCCAGCTCCGCCGCAGATTCATCCAGGGAGCTCGCCCCCCGCCCCCCTGCAGCTGCTGCTTCCACCCGCCTCGGGGCCTCAGCGGCAACGATAGGGGGGATAGGCATAAAAGGGGAGCTGCATTGACCCCCAACCGCCCACTGATCGCCGATGGGGGCCCGACAGCCCCACCCCGCCCTGGAAGGTACGGACTCACTCTCGGGGGCCTATCGCCGATCCATCGGCGATGTGTCGCCGATTCCGGGTCGAGGCATCCCCCCCCCCTGCCCACCCCCCTTATCGTTGGCCGCCTCGGGGCCGCCTCGGGGCCGCCGCCCTCGTCGCCCCGCCCGCCCCCGGGGGCTGCCCTCTCGGCTGCTCGCTCCCTGGGGGCTCGGCCCGCCGGACCTGCCTGCCCCCCCTCCGCGCCGCCCTGTGGCTGCCGACGGCCCGCTCCTCCCCTGCGATCCTGGCGCTGTAATGTTTCCCACGGCGGGCGCTTTGGCTCGAGGTCGGGCCCTGGGGACCCTCACGGATCGATCCGGCTTGAAAAGTGACGCGGAAGGATGTGGTTTGGGGCTGCGGGCGTGATTTTTATTTCGTTGTATTTTGCTCGCAGCGTCAGATCTCAGGGTCCGCGCGAGGCTCGGGCGAGGCTCGGTCTGCCCGAGCGCTCGCGCGGGCTGCCAGGCCCTCGACCGGAACCTCAGGGCCGCTGGCGCGGCCGCCGGTGCGGCGGACGCGCGCCTGGCGGTGCTCGGGCGCGACGTCGCCGAGGTGCGCTCGGCCGTGGAGGAGGCCGCCACCCAGGCGGCGCGTCGCCTGCGCAGGGGGGGCTGGAGCAGATCAGCCCGGCGACGCGCAGAAGGCCCTACCAGGGGGGCGGCCTGCCAAGCCGGCAGGGGGTCTTCTGAGAGGCCCTCGTGCCCTCTAAGAAGCCTTCTGAGAAACCTGCTTACAGTGGAAGCCCATGCCAAGAGACACCCTGCTTGCCGCCAGGGTGCCCTGGGCTTCGCGGGATTCGATGGTTCTGCTGTGGAGAGCGCGACGTTCCCACACCAAAAACCAATCGACGTGCTGGGGCCTCAGGGTTGGGTTTCTTGTGGAAGGTTTCTTGTGGTCGAGCCCCTACTGTAGAAGCCCTTCTGAGAAGGCAACACCTTCATAAACCATGTCAGATGATACTGATCATGATACGAGTAGCATCATTATGTATTAACATATACATGATACACATTACAATGCCAACACCAACAATATTCTCAACAGAAGTAATACGATCAATAATGACAATACGATTAATAACTCTGATAAAAGGAATTCTACTACTACTACTACTACTACTGCCACTACTACTACTACTACTACTACTACTACTACTACTACTACTAGTACTAGTACTAGTACTAGTTCTAGTACTAGTACTAGTACTAGTACTAGTACTAGTACTAGTACTACTACTACTACTAGTACTAGTACTAGTACTAGTACTAGTACTAGTACTACTACTAGTTGTCTTGTACTAGTAGTAGTAGTAGTATAGGTTCGTTGTAGTAATAAGTACTTTAGTACTAGTAATCTACTAATTACTACTATGACTACTATACTACTACTTACATTGTACTACTACTACTACTATTACTACTTTTACGACTACTACTATACTACATACTTCGACCACTACTGCAATACTTACTAATTACTTCTACTACTGCTGCCAACTCTGCTACTTACTATATATACTACTACTACTACTACTACTACTACTACTACTATCTACTACTACTACTACTACTACTACTACTACTACTACTACTACTACTACTACTACTACTACTACTACTACTACTACTACTAATACTATTACTACTACTACTACTACTACTACTACTACTACTACTACTACTACTACTACTACTACTACTACTACTACTACTACTACTACTACTACTACCACTACTACTACTACGACCGCCACTACTACGACTACAACTTCTACTACAACTATTACTACTAGTAGGACCACTACTACTACTACTACTACTACTACTACTACTACTTAGTAGTAGTAGTAGTAGTCGTAGTAGTAGTAGTACTACGACGACTACTTAATACCGCTACTACTGTACAACTACAAGTCGTAATCTTACTACTACTACTACTACTACGACTTACTACTTACTACTTACTACTACTACTACTACTACTACTGCTACTACTACTACTACTACTACTACTACTACTACTACTACTACTACTACTACTACTACTACTACTACTACTACTACTACTACTACTACTACTACTACTACTACTACTACTACTACTACTACTACTACTACTACTACTATTACAACAACTACTACTACTACTACTCCTACTCATACTCCTTCTCCTACTCCTATCCTTATTCCTTATTAGAATATACTCCTACTTCCCCCTCAGGCCGGCAGATAGGGGCCCCATCCGGGTGGTCCCATCTTAACTTGTAAAAAACAATACAAAATCAACGTTTTCTTATTTATTCCTCTCAACATGGACGTTCTGTCGTCCACAGCGATAATCCATTGCAAAAAAATACCACAAAGAGCACACGCGCGCGTTCATGTCAGAATCCTACCGAACACCGTGTGTTTGCAAGCATTTCAACATAAAAACATCAAACACCCAATGCTTTTTCACAAACATTCTACAAATTTCCTGCCCGGGCTCTCTTTCTGAAATCATAGGAAAACCATCGGAATCTTAAGAATTCGGTCAAACCAGCGATTTCACGTCATCGCGCGGTGCACTCGCGATGCTCTGTCATGCACCCAGGCCGCAAATCCTGTGCAAAAAATACCACGCGGGCGACATGCGCGCGCGTCGCCGCGAGCGCATGCTCAAATCCTTTTAGAGTCGTCGCCGTCATTGGCACCGTCGCATGGACGTCCTGTCGTCCACGTCGCAAAATGCATGGCAGGAATGGGACGCGGCGCACACCCCGCGCCCGCCCATCCAATCCGTCCCATTCTAATCTGCAAAAGACAATACACAGTTTTTGTTTTTCTTGTCAACATGGTCGTGCTGTCGTCACGTCGCAAAATGCGTGGCTGGAATGGGACGCGGCGCACACCCCGCGCGAAGGGGTGACATGTCGCTCTCGCCTCGGCGCCGCGCACCAACGTTTTTCCTCTCAGCATGGACGTCCTGTCGTCCACGTCGCAAAATGCTTGGCAGGAATGGGATGCGGCGCACACCCCGCGCCCGCCCATCCAAACCCCCCTGTTATAAAAAAAACAATACAAGTTGGGGCCTTCTGGACGTCTCCTAATGCAATCCCATGAATCGTATGGGCGCATGGGGTCCCTTGGGGCCTCCTGGGGCCTTCTCGGGAGGCCTCTCTGTGTTTGCAAGCATTTCGAGCAAAAACATCACAACCATACGCTTTTTGCACAAAAATTCTACAAATTTCCTGCCCGGGCTGTCTTGTTGAAATCATAGGAAAACCATAGGAATCTTAAGAATTCTGTCAAATCCAGCGATTTCGCGTCGCCGCGCGGTGCACTCGCGATGCTCTGTCATGCACCCAGGCCGCGAATCCTGTGCAGAAAACACCACGCGGGCGACATGCGCGCGCGTCGCCGCGAGCGCATGCTCAAATCCTTCTAGAGTCGTCGCCATCATTGGCACCGTCGCATGGACGTCCTGTCGTCCACGTCGCAAAATGCATGGCAGGAGTGGGACGCGGCGCGCATCCCGCGCCAAAGGGTGACATGTCGCTCTCGCCTCGGCGCCGCGCGCGTTTTCAAGGGGGGTCCCATCCTAACCTCCAAAATACAATACAAAATCATCGTTTTTCCTCTCAGCTTGGACGTCCTGTCGACCACGTCGCAAAATGCGGGCAGGACTGGGACGCGGCGCCTACCCCGCGCCCGCCCATCCAATCCCTCCCATCCTGATCTGCAAAAGCCAATACAAAAATGCGTGGCAGGGGTGGGACGCGGCGCACACCTCGCGCCCGCCCATCCAAACCTTCCCATCAGAAAAAACAGTAAAAAGTTGGGGTCTCCTGGACGCCTCCTTGTGCACTCCCATGAATCCCATGGGCGCCTGGGGCCCCGTGGGGCCTCCTGGGGCCTCCTGGGGCCTCCTGGTGTTTCGTGGGGCCTCCTGGGGCCTCCTGCGGTGTACCGGGCCATTCTCGACTCGTCTGGCAATGCGTGCGCGGCATTCAACACGCGCTCGCCAGTTCCCGTCGGCAACCGCCATCGCGGCCGCATCATGCTGTACCAAACCGGGCTGGCCGGTGTGACTTCGCGCCCCGTTGTAAACTCCACGGCAGCTTTTTTTTTTTTGTTTTTTACCTTTTGTCTACTTTTTCCCTTTTTTTATTTTTTTTATTTTTTTTCTATTTTGTCTTTTTTTTTGTTTCTTTTTTTTTTTTTTTTTTTTTTGTATTTTTTTGTTTTTTTCTTTTTTTTGCTTCTTATGTTGTGGGAGGGCGGGAGGGACTGGGATGCCATGCTGACTCGCTCGAGCTTTTTCTCTTTTTTTGTTTTTACTAATTTTTGCTTGGCAGCTTGACTCGTACTCCTACTCCTATCCCACTCTTTACTCCTACTCGACTTTTCGCGTCCTGCTCCTGCTACTGCTACTGCTACTGCTACTGCTACTGCTACTGCTACTGCTACTGCTACTGCTACTGATACTGCTACTGCTACTGCTACTACTACTACTACTACTACTACTACTACTACTACTACTACTACTACTACTACTACTACTACTACTACTACTACTACTACTACTACTGCTACTAGTAGTTAGTAGTTGTAGTAGTAGTAGTAGTAGTAGTAGTAGTTAGTACTAGTACTACGACGGTACTACTACTACTATTACCACCAATTTACTACTACTAGTACTTACTCGTACTTTTAGTACTACTAGTACTACTATGCCTACTTTACTAGTACTACTACGCGACGAGACCACTTTAGTACGCTTACTACTACGATTATACGACTTTTACTACGACTATTACTACGGACTACGACCACGGACTACGAACTACGACTACTACTTTCTACTACTTATACTACTACTTTATACTACTACTACTACTATACTAATACTACTACTAACTTTTACTACTTACTAACTACTATTACCTAGTACCTACTACCTACTAACTACTAATACTAACTACTAACTACTAACTACTAACTACTACTACTAATTACTAAACTTACTAGAATACTAACTACTAACTACTACTACTACTACTACTATTTCTACTGATACTGCTACTGCTACTGCTACTGCTACTGCCACTGCTACTGCTACTGCTACTCCTACTACCACTCCTACTACTACTCCTACTACTACTACTGCTACTACTATGACTACTACTACGACGACTACTACTACTACTACTGCTACTACTACTACTACTACCACCAATACTACTACTAGTACTACTAGTGCTATTAGTACTACTAGTGCTATTAGTACTACCAGTACTACTACTGCTACTTACTACTACTACGACGACGACGACCACTACTACTACGGCTACTACTACGACTACTACGGCTACTACTACGACTTCTACGACTACGACGACGACGACTGCTACTACTACTACTACCACTACTACTACTACTACTACTACTACTACGACTACTACTACTACTACTACTACTACTACTACCCACTACCTACTACCTACTACCTACTACCTACTACCTACTACCCACTACCTACTAACTACTAACTACTATCTACTAACTACTAACTACTAACCACTAATTACTAACTACTAACTACTAACTACTAACTACTACTACTACTACTACTACTACTACTACTACTACTACTACTACTACTACTACTACTACTACTACTACTACTACTACTACTATTTCTAGTAGTACCAGTAATATGACGAACTGTACTAACAGTACTAAGACCAAAAAAGAAGCGTTCTGAGAAGCCTGCTTAGAAGCCTTCTTAGAAGCCCCCGTTCCCTTCAAGAGGCAGGGCCGCTCCTGCGCGCCGCTCCAGCTCGTGCCCCCCCCCCTTCTCCCCAGGCAGGACATGTTTGACTCGGGGGTGGACGGAGCCCCCACCATGACACGTCGATGCAGTGGATTGTCCGTTGTCGGTTCTAGAGGGTGCGCCGCGGCGGTCATTTTCCAGGGCCCGAGGTCGTTTTCACTAAACCACGTTTTGCTAAAGGGGGTTTTGTCCATCCCCGATGGATTATTGCTGGAAAAAACAATCTGGACTCGATAACTGGCGTTTGCTAAACCAGCTCTGGGGGTTTTCTGACTAGCCCTGCCCTGTTCAATTCCTTCTTTGGGTGCGTTTGCTCAACGGTTTCGAGGGTGGATTGCCTGCCCACTAGAAGGTACACGTGAGCGTGGTCCTTTGCACGGGCGGCTTTGTTTTTGTAGGATGCCGAGCGTGGGCAGTGCCAGATGCATGTAGTGCCATGCATTTTCGGTGCCCGGCGGTGTCGCACCATGCCGTGGGCGTGCGGTGCCCTGCGCGCCTTGAGCCATCCATTTGAATTCTCGTGACGTCCGTGCAGGCTAAGCTGGTTCCACGGTTGCACAGGAGTCACGCGGCAGCCTTGTTTTGTGCAGTCCTGACCTTCTTGGGCTGATCTGACCTTTTCTTTGTTCTCCCTGCGCGGGTTGCCTGCTCTTGAAGGCCGGGTGTCTCCTCGCTGGGGCAAAGTGTGGGGCTGTGTGGTTTGGTCTTTCGTTCTGCCTCTGCTTCACTGGTGGTTCCTCGTCGATTTTGGCCTCTCTGTTCCTTCACTTTTGCCTCACTCCTGTATTCTGTCTCTCGTTCCTTTCGTGGTGCCTCACTGTGCTTCTGGTGGTTTGTCGTGGTCTGATGGCCGTGCAGGTCACCCGTGAGGAGACAGGGTGTTATGCTGTGTGCGCTGTGTGCTCTGTGTGCGGTGACGTGCGTTCTGCATACATGGGCGCGTCTTGGGGCGGTTCAGGTGGTCCCAGGTGGTGGCCTTCATGTTTCCACTGGTTAAGTTCATGCCATGACATGTGGAGCGTCGAAAAATGTTTGGCTCTTACGAATCAGGGTGTACCAGGGTCATATGGGGTCATCTGCTGTGCCTGGAACCCCATGCGAGGGCCTGTGGAACGCCTGTTGGGACTGCTCGGGCCGTCGTCGAGGTCTTGGGGGGTGCGTCTTCGAAGCCTCGAAGGGGGCCCAGGATGAGAGTCTGTGAGCTCTTGGCACTCACCACTCGACCGCGTTCGGGCCGTCTTCCTCTAGCGCGGGGCCGTGTCGGGGTCCGTTCCCCGCCGCGACGAAGACGATTATGACGACGTCTGTGACGGCAATCACGACGAGGGGCGACGATCACAACGACGACGGCGACGGCGCTCCCTGCGACGACAAAAGCGACGACGAGTCGTGCGCGATAGCTTCCCTGGTCCGCCCGCGCCCTCTGGAGACCCCTGGGTGCCTCCGAACGCTGCTTCGGGGAACGACGTCGCTTTTGGCATCCTTACCGTATCACGTCCGTAGGGGTCTCGGGCTCAAGCCTTTGGGAGTTTTTGTTCGCCTGCGAGGAAATGAGCAAGGAGGGGGAATTGGCTTGGCGGAGGATCCATCCCAACGCCGCTGCGAGTGACACAGGATATGACCCTCTCATAGGTAGCGCACTCTTAGAGGGATGGTGCCGGGGCCACTGGGGCCTGCAGTGGAGCTCCCTCTAGGGCCTCTAAGCCCGTGAGGTGTGTGCAGGAACAGGGGGTGACATTGTGCGAGCTCTGCCGCTGAGGCCTTCGGGGAGGCCACTGTGGGTCCACGGAACAGGTGAGGGGTGGGCCGAAATGCGCGGGGGGATGCTATGCGAACTCTGTCGCTCTATGGGGCCACGAAATGTGTGAGTGGTGTGTGGAGGAACGACGACGACGACGACGACGACGACGACGACGACGACGACGACGACGACGACGACGACGACGACGACGACGACGAAGACGACGACGTCGACGACGACGACGACGATGACGACTCCCGGGAGCGCCCCAGGAGGCCTCCAAACGGCCCAAGAAAGCCCCAAGACGGCCCAAATTGGCGCCGAGACGGGGTACCAGGTCCATCGGGGACCTCGTTGGCGGATGACGGGAAGCGTTTTCGAGGTACGAGAAGCGAGCTTGACGTTCTGGCTGAATCTGCATCATATTTCACAATCTCTTACTATGGGGGTTCTGCGCCGCACCGGGTTTGACGGGAAGCGCGCATAGACTCGAAGAGTCGCGCGATGGACGTTGCTGTAGGCCCCGAGGGACAATCTTTTCAACTGGGGGGGTCTGAGGTGGGAAGGGCTCGGGGTTGTTCGGTGATTAAGGTCTGGCGGATGACGGGAAGCGCGCAGAGAAGGCCCTGGCTCGAGCGATTGTGGCGTTTTTCTCGTGTCAGCGTGGTCGCAAGCCCCCGCACAGCATGATTCTCAGTCGACGGCGAGACATGTTTCGTTTCTCCTTCTGCGCGCCATCGCTAGCCGAAGGTACTTACGCTGGAGGGCCGAGCTTTCGGTGACGGCACGATCACCGTGGAGCTCCATGCCATCAGATGATGTCGATGATCGGAGCGAGCCAGTGCACAGCACAAAAAGGTATCTCCTCGCCTGCCGAGCCATACTCGCCAGAGGGCGAGTGTGTATCAAGGGAGCCCTGTACGAAGGCCAGGACGCAGTGGCGAAGCTATGCCGAGTGGCGGCGCACAACGGCGTGGTGCTCCCACCCTCACCTTTCCCACCGACCCATTGTATCCCACGCCGCGGCTGCGTCAATATGTGGTCGTACAACGCCGAGGCAGTGCTCATGCCCGTCCGCTTGGACGAAGTTCTTCGACAGGCGGCGGCTGCCCGCGTCGAAGTTCTTGCCCTGCAGGGCACCATGCTCTCCATCGAACACCAGTGGGAGAGCACCGCCTACATCATCACGCCTTCCCCACGTTCGGTTCGCCACTTGAGCGACGGGGTTGCCACTGCAATATCCAAGCGAATTGCTTCACGGGAGGAGATTGCAGTTACGCGCAGTTGGCAGCTGGGGAGGCTAGTGGGCATTCGGGTCCAGTGCAAGCCCCACATCGACTTCTACGCCCTCTGTGGATACGCCCCAGCTGACAAGCCCCAAGCCCGACCCATCGAGGACGAGTTCTTTGACAATATGAATCGTGCGCCGGGCTGTATCCCTGCTCGCTGTGCTATGTTACTGGCCCTGGATGGCAACGGTAGCATGGCGCCGTCGCTGCCTGAAGTAGGACATGCCAGTTCACGGCGATGGCATTGACCGCAGTGGACCGACAACGGACGGTGCCTCCATGACATCCTCTCCCAATGCAGTATGCGTGCCCTTAACGCCTTCGGCCCAGCAGCAGGGCGCAGTGCCGCATCGAGGAATCCTGACGGTCAGGGTGAGACGCGGATCGACTACACGCCACGTCTCCCAGGATTTCGCGCGGGTCATTCGTGAGACCCCGCTGGCCTTGGGCCCCTCTAGAGATCATGTGATAGTCGAGGCCTCTGTCCGAGTGGGTCGACACTTTACTATGCGACCTCCCAGGGCACCGACGCCAACGTGGCTCCGTCAACGTATCCTGAGTTCTTTCCAGGCATGGCAGCGCTGGTCTACCTGGGAGCTGGCGGTGGCCTCGGCCGCGAGCGACTTCCTCGCGCCCAAGCAGCCTTCTCTGCCGACGCTGTAGACTCGGATGTTGGGT